TTAATTTTTGTTCTTTCAACATAATTCAATTAAAATTTAATTAACCCTCATCACCTACACCTACATCGGCTGCGACTGCGGCTGCTGCTGGGCAGAGATCCCCTCGCTGGTGATCTCTGCAAAAAGTTCAGTGAACCGAGCGTTGGGAATAATAATAAAAATAAAATATTACCTCTAATGATGCACACATAAAATGCAGCCGCAATAAAATATGAAAAAGGCACAAGATGAAGCAGCAGAGACGAAAGATGCGAGAATAAAAAACCAAAAACCAAAAATTGATATAAAAATAAAACAAAAGTGACTTTTAACAAAAGCCAAAAAGAGCCGAGAAATGAGAAATATCATAAAAGTGCAATTAATCAACAGAAACCGAAGCAGGAGATCGAGAATCTGGGACGAGGGGAAATGTGGCATGTGGAACTCGGCTGATGGAGACAAAGGCTGACATTTATCGGCCTTATCTGCTTATGTGTGGCATGCCACAAAGGAGAACAAAAAGCGCAGCGGAGAGCCGACTCGGAGATGCCCTAGCATTGGCCAAGCAGCTGTTGGAAGCATTCTCTATCTATAGGAAATGTAGTCTTGGGTAACTTCGGAATTTATTGTCCGATCTCTTTGCAATTTTCTGGACCAAAGCGCAAGGGTTTATCTTTAGAAATGAATTTCATCCAATTTTGAAAATATATAATGAGGTATCCAAAAAGTGGAAGTTTCTTAAGATGTATATGCTAATTGAGATTCTACATACAAAATTTGGTGTGTCTATCTCTTATATTTCTCGAGATTTGCTTGAAAAACTTAACCTATAAATCGATTTTTATCGATATTTCGCAGATGAGAGGAAATATCGAAACATAAATGATAAGCGCTTGTTCTCTAGAGGCAAGGTTAGCACGACTCTCAAGATCAAGAATATATATACTCTCTACTTAAAATCCGATCTGCATTCTTCTGCCTGTTACACAGCCTATGCCAAACCCATCATACCCTAACCACACATTTTGAATTGGGTTCAGGGTCTAAAAAACTTGTAAATAAATAAAAAAGAATTATAAAAGTAAGGAAAAGTAGCTGCGGCTGCATGGGAATTGATTATTTTGCATGCGGATGCCGCCTGTCAATATTTGATTTTTATATATGGCATTGCCTGACAGAACAGCAAGGGGTGAGGGGTGAGTGGAGAGGGGCAGAAATGCAGCGATTTTTATTAATAAATGAAATGTGTAAATAAACGCCTCGAGGAACAAAGAAGAAGCAGAAGGGGCAGACGAAGAAGTGGCATAAGAATTGGGTAGGCAAACAGCAGGAAAGCATAAACATGGCCAACACTAATACCAAGGCAAACAAACAAAGACGCAAGAAGCCGATGCAGATGCAGATGCATTTCCAAAGAATTTCTAAGCACATCAAAATCCAACAACAATATCAAAGCCAGCGGTCAGCGTTGAAAAAATATTTAAAAATGCATAAAAACAAAATATTTATTGAAGAAATGAAAGACGGAGCGAGTTAGACGCTAACAAGCCAACGGGAATGCAACAAGAAAGCGTGCGCCACGCAATCATTGAACGACCAAGAGATACCCTGTAACAGTCAAATATCAATCGATTCGTATATACATCCTATTGTAACTCTTGTGTTTCTTGTGCGATTATCGTGAAACTTTCGGGCGTTTGAATTGACATTCCAATATTTTTGTATACCAAAAGTCAAGGCTTTAGCTTTGAGAATTTTCGACGTAGCTCACTTTATCCTAGAGTTGTGCTTAGTTGGATTATTTCGAACTTAATTGTCGAAAATGGGGTATACACTTGCTTTGCCTATTTTTAACTACAGCTAGCATAGTTTTGTGACTCTAAATCATATTATCCCAAAGGATAATTTTTGTAAATCAATATTTATCGATTTTGGGAATATGTAACATTTCCTTAGTTGATTTGGTTTTGATAAACGAAAAACTACTTTGCCCGCGCTATCTGAGTAAAATGTGCTTTGGATAATTGAGAAAACTACATTCAATCGATATTTATCGATTCTGGTTAAATGCGACCTGTTATCGAAAAAAAAGGCTTCAGTTGATGTGCTTTCGATAGACGAGAAATTGTTGTCAACATTTAAAAGACTTTGAAATTGATATATATTTATTTTGAGAATATATACACCAAACATGTTCAGTTATTAGCTTTTCTTGAAGAGATCGATATTTATCGATTACGGGAATATGTGGCTTGTTACCAAAATTCTTCAGCTGTTGTGTTCTTGATAAACGAAGAACTACATTCAACATTATAAGTTTATAGCTCTCAGACTTTGAAATCGATAAATATCGATGTGACGTGTTATCGAAAAATTACAACAGTTTATCTGCTTTTGATGAACGAACGACTGCATTTATCACAAACGCGTCACTTCAGTCCAAATTTTAAAAGTTGAGCTCTTAAACGTACAAATCGATATATATCGATTTTGCGAGAATGCGAAGATTTATCGAAGAAAGACTACAGTTCATCTACTTTTGAGGAAGAAACAACTATATTTAATATGGTCAGTTTTAAGCTCTTTGTCTTTTAGAAATCTGTTCATCGATTTATCGAAATAAGTTATTTCCTTGATAATCGATCATCCACCTTCAATATTTTGTGTCTGTAGCTCCTCTGGTCTCAGACTGCAATATACCCCTCCTTCTAGCGCCTTTTCAATGGGTATAGGGCATAAAAATATTAAATGAGATAAACAAACGTTTTCGAATTCGAACATATGAGCATGCTAATGCGCTCAAGAACCCAGTCAAGTCGCAGTCTAACCCAGCCTTCGCTTATTTGATTAATGCACTCGAAAGCGACAATAAACAAGAACAAACGAACATAGTTGGCAACTCTGGACGCTGCCGAGTGCCTGGGCCTGGCCCTGGGCCTGGTCTGGGCTTGGGTCTGGGTTCTGGGCCTGGAGTGGGATCTGCGTCGAGTGCCAGATCGTTCAGACAAACAAATATCGCATTCCACTGCACACAAATCGAATGTGAATGCTCAATTGATGTGAAGCCAAACGGCTTTTTAAGAACTCTGAAGAAAACTGGGTTCGTCGACGTCTATTAGATAAATAAATAAAGAAAATTTTTTATTAAAGTGCGAATTCTGCGGTGCGCTTAATGTTGATGGAACGTTCGGAGCTAGCTGCTAGAAGAGACCATGGCGAACCGTTGACATGTTGCCGTTGTTGCCCCATAACCATCGACTAGTCCATCAAAACCGGTTCGTGGCGGCGGAGGGGCAACTGTGAGCTGCAGCTTCTCGATGGAGCCGATAAAAATCAATCAGACATGAGAAACAAACAATTTCGTATATTACTTTGCAACAATTTATGCAGAGGAGTTCCCTTCTCTCTCTCTCTCTCTTTCTCTTAAAATTTGATGTTATTCCATTAATAATATTCCAAATATAACTTTTGACTAGGACCATGAGTCAGTTTCTTGAGAAGAGCTTAACTGTTCGTTTGTAGTGTTGCACAATGTCTGAGAAATTCTTCATAATTTATCCAGAAAATGTAACTCCATAATCGATTGAGTAAAGTCATGTGTTGTTAAACACTTGTTCGGTAAATTCTAGTGTTGTTGAACACTGACTCGGTAAATTCTAGTGTTGTTCAACACTGGTTCGGTATAATCTTGTGCTTTGAAGCACTAGACTGTTTAATTCTAGTGTTGTTTAGCATTAATTTGATAAATTCAAGTGTTATTGAACACCGGCTTGGTTCTTTTTTAGCTTCTTTATAAAGAATAGATTTTCGGAATGGTAAATCCTTCTATATACCCACCTGTTTTATTGTCATGTAAAGTGCGAATGTAAGTGTTGCCCGATTCCTTTTTTTGCAGATATAAGAGTGTTGTAAATGGACCAAAGTCAAAATATAGTTTATTTAAGCTGAGCCACATCCGTTTTCAACACTTTTTCTATATGCTTATGTTAAACGAAAACAAATACTGTTGTTGAACACTGACTTGGTTTATTATATAGATGATATTTTTTCTTGTTAGGATTTTTAATTAGATTATTTTTGTAGTGATAGACTAAAATGCCTCAAACATAAACTCTGTGTCAATTTATTTAATTTAGTGTTTCTTTATTTAATGCTAAGTGCAAGAAAAAAGAGTTACTTAACACTAGCTTTGCTTAGTATTGGCTTTAATCAACACTAGTCAGTCAAAATTTTCCAATTAAAACTTATATTTATATAAAAAGTTTTTGAATATTAACTGTGCATCGAGCTGTGACCTATAAAGCTTAGTACATCGCGCTACTCAACACTGGCCTTGTTTATTTTGAATGCTTTCGCTAATTAAATATATCCTTAAGAAAATAATTCAAAGGAAACACGTTCGACGAAAAAGGGGCTGCAGTAAAATGAAAACAAAGTAAATAATGCCTACAAATGAATATTCATATTCATAAATAAATGTATTCATATTTAAGATCAATTAGTGTGTGGGACAAGGAATTCCGAATGGGAACCTACGACAAGGCGAAAAATGTTTAAAATGCCTTCAACGATCGCGAGCGGAAAGACGTGGCCCGGCAACAACAATGAGTGGCAGCAGCAGCAGCGGCAGCGGCAGCACGCCGGCGACGACGTGAAGCACGTGAATGCTGTCAATCAAGAGCGCTGCGCAGTCAGCGACATCAACAACAACAACAGCATTCCACGGTAGCCGCGTTCGTGACGTCACGCGGCGAAATGCCGTCGGCAAAAGGCAGCCGAAACAAAATGAAGATCGCGAAACGTAAATCAAAACAAAACAGAGACAGAGAGTGAGAGAGAGCGCCAGAGCGCAAGAGAGTGAGTGCTGCTTGACGCGTGAGCGCGGCGCAGCGCTGCAACTGCGCTGCTGCTGCTACTATACTTAAGAGAGCGCGCAAAGCTGATCGCGTTTGTGAATGAAATGCGCGAAAAAATATCTGAAGAGAATTGAAAGTTTGGAAGAGAGTATTTGTTGTACTCACCCGCTCCTCCTCGCGTATCATTTCCGCAATGCCCGGCTTGATCTCCATATCGTCGGCCAGCGATGCTGCACTGCCGCCGGTGGGGGGTCCGCTATGATGATGGTGCGGCAGCGGCGGCGGCAGACGCGGCTCAGCTGCGGCTGCGACGCTCAGCTCCATGGCGGCAGCGGCCATGGCGGCGGCAGAGCCGAGCGGAAAGCGCGACTCAGCGGCAGCGGGATGAACGGAAGCGCCGGAAGTGGAAGTGCCGGGCGCATGGCCCAGCCCGTGATGCGTCTGATGCTGTTGCAGGTGATGCAGATGCTGCTGCTGCTGCTGCTGTTGGTGCTGCTGCTGCTGCTGCTGCGGGCTGGGCAGCGACTGCGCGAGCGCGCGTTGGCAGCGACCCGCTGCCGCTGCCGCTGCCGCTCCAGCTGGCGCTGGCGTTGTTGCGGGTGATGGCATGTCCAGGCCGTGCAGCGCCGTTTCCAGCGCTGCTGCAGCGGGCGTCAGACGACGCGGCGTAACGCTGCCGCTGCCCGATGAGCCTAGCGGCAGCGCCATTTGCTTTGGCGGCGGCGTCAAAATGCCGCAATCTCGCTGTCTCTCACGCTCCTTTTGCTCCTGCTCCAAACGCTCGGCGGCGATCAGGCTGCTCAGCGGGCTGGCGGGCGCCTGGAATATGGCGTCGGCCGAGGGCCAGCGACGCTTGCGCACATTGCGGCTCTGCTGGCGTTCCAGCGGCGACAAGCGCAGCTCGCCGCAGTCCCAGTCGCCGCTGCGCAGCTTCTTCTCGGGCTGCATGAAAGAGAGCAGCTGCTCTTCGCTGCCCTCGCGCTCTGCCGGCGAATTCTTGGGCGAATGTTGTGCAGTCGGTGTCGAGGAGGCAGTTGCTGCCGCTGCCGCCGCCGCTGCCGCTGCTGCTGCTGCCGTATTGATCTCCTCCATTTGGGTGACGTCGGCCAATCCGCGTACCTTGAGCAGCTCGGCGATGCGCAGCAGCGGGCCAATCTGATCCTGGCTAACATTGATTTCGCCGCGATACATGAACTCGACAATGGCCTTCAGATCGCACCAGCTGACGTCGCGCATGATGACGATCGGATGCTGGCAGGGGGTCTCGGCGAGCAGGGTCTGGAAGTAGGGCGAGCAGGCGGATAGGACCATTTTGTGTGCCTTGATCGAGCGGCCGTCGCAGGCGAGCGTCACATCGACAAAGGATTCGTTTTGCAGCAGCTGATCGAATATCGTTGTCAGATTTGATTGGTAGTTGTTCCAGCGCAGGCAGAACTGTTGCGGCAGCTGATGCTGCGGCGTCGAACGGGAGCCGGGCGAGGAGCTGCCCGCGTTGACGTTGACGTCGACATTGGCGTTGGCGTTCGCGTTGGCGTTGGCGTCCGGTGGCGTTGTTAACGGCGGGCTAACGGTCTTTGATTTATCCTGTTGCGATGCTGGCGAACCGCCGCCACCACCGCCGCCGCCGCTGCGCTGTCGCTGCGCCGCTTGCGCCTGCTCCGTTGCATAGGTTTCGCTGTCCGTTTGCGCAGTCGCTGCGGCGTTGCTGCGATCGCTGCTTTGTCGCGACGTTGGCGTCTCCGTTGACGCCATTTTGTGTGTGCGCTCAAAAGAGAGCGTGTGCGAATCAAGACAGAGAGAGCGAGAGTGTGTCTATTGATCGTGCGCGCGTGAGAGCGGCAAATCTTTCATTTGCAAATGTAACGGTAGAGGTGTGTGCATGGGTGTGTGTGTGTGTGTGTGTGTGTGTGTGTGTTAAACACTAGAGCTTGCACGAGACGACGCGTTTATCATGCGCTCGCGTTAAAGTCGCGTTTTAATTAACGTACACGTGAGTGTGCCCAGGTGTGTGTGTGTGTGAGAGAGTGGGTGTATGAGTGTGTGTGTGTGGCTTACGTTACGTTACGCGCACGACGTAGCGTGCATTTTAGTTTAATTTAATTTTAATTTTTTTTTTTAATTTTCTTAAATATTTTTTAAGTTAAAATTTGCTAAATAAATGTTTGTGTGTGTTTGGTGTGTGTGCGTGCTTGTGTGGCGGCTCGTCGTGTGACGTCTCGTCTCGTTATTTGGCAAACGGAACGTGCCCCCAAAAAAGTCTTTTCAGCACGAGTGTCTGAATTAGACTGAAAACGTTTTGCACATTTTGATACGGAAAAACTCAAAACAAACTTAACACACGGGCAGCAGCAGCAGCAGCAGCAGCAGACGACGTCGATTGGGGCTACGACGACGACAACGACGACGACGACGACGACGGCGGAAAACGCAGAGGCGCTGCTTGCCTAGTTGTTGTTGTTGTAGTTGCCGTCGCGTCGCGTTTTGTTGGAGTCGAGAGTTGCGAATGCGAATTCGCTGAGTCGTCGTCGCGACGCCAGCCGCGAGACCCCAAGTCGTAAATAGTTCGCTGCCGACGTCGCAGCTCGCAATTGCAGTTGCATTTTCAAGGCAAAGGAGCGCAGCCAGCCAGCCAGCCAGCGCAGCGACAGCGACGTCAGCGAAAATAGTGCAAAGAGCGGCGTGCGGCGTGCGGCGTGCGGCGACAATCAAATGCCGGCAAACGTTGAAAATTCCTTTACTCGGCAAAACGAAAAACGAAGCGAAACGAATGCTTGGCGAGGCGAGGCGAAGTACGCTCGTCGCTGCTCGCTCTCCCACACACAGAAACCGCCGCGTGCGCGCACAACCCCCAAAAAACAGCGGCAGCAGCAGCAACAGCAGCGGCCGCAGCTGTTTGTTGTTGCCGTTAGTTCAAAGGCGCAGAGATGAGACAAACGCGCTGCATTTTCGGCAATGCGTGCGAAGGGGGTCGCCTAATAATTGAGCACACGCGTGTGTGTGTGCGTGCGTGTGTGTGAGTGCGTGAGCAAATGCAGCTACAATTGAAAGTTTCTGCGGCGAAAGGCGCACAGGCAACAGCTCTATGATGATATGTAATATGTTAAAAAATACAATTAAATATTATAAGAAATGATCTTATCACCGAAATCTATACCTCTCTCACTCACACACACACGCACACGCATGTTTGGCGCGGCGATAAACATAAGAAAAAAGTTGACAGCAGCCGACGTCGTCGTCGCCGTCGCCGTCTCCGTCGCCGTCTCCGCAGCAGCAAAGATTGTTCATTAATTAGTTCCGTTTGTATGTTCTGCTGCTGTTGCTGGCGCTCAATTTTGAGCTGCAGTCGCTGCGCTCTCAGCAGCGGCAGCACACCAATTCGCCGCAATCTTTGAACGTTGCGCTCTTTTGTTTTTAAGAGACGCACCAAATGCTGTACTGTGCGCTCTGCTCTGCTTGCACACACACACACACACACACACACACACTTCTCTTTTGCGTGCGGCGCAAAGACACACGAGCATTTAGTAGACGACGGCTAGTGCATGTTTGTGGAAGCGAGAGCCAGCGAGTGGGTGGGTGGGTGGTGGGCAGCGCGCGACACAGGTGGCATTGCACCTGCAGTTTGAGCGACGACGTTTTTTTTTTCGTTTTCTTTTTTTTTCTCGCTCGCTCGTTCGCCTTTTGGAACTGCCCACACTGCGGGGCTGTCACTGGAGACTGGTCACTCCGTGTGCATGTGCATGTGCATGTGTGTGTGTGTGTGCGTGTGTGTGTGTGTGTGTGTCTTGCAATTGTATTTTGATTATTGTTTTGGGCATAAAATGCATAACATAAAGAAAAATACAAATCAAAACAAAGCGAAAAAAAAACAACCATTGCGTGAGCGAGACAAACGAAGCGGCGAGTGCGAGCGCCAGAGCGAGACAGCCAGCTGCGGCTCAGCCTCAGCCTCAGCCAGTCATAAATTATGCAAAATTTTTTGCGACTAGCAAATGGCGGCTGACTACATTATTATAAATAACAGTGCACAAAATGAGCGAATGAGCGTGTGAGAGGGCGTTGAGAGAGGGGTGTGGGGTGAGGGGGGCACGCAGATAAAGACATAAAGAAGAGGCAGCTAAATGAATTGTGCCTAAAATGATCTGAGAATAGATTTGAAAATAGATTTTGGCAAAGATTTCAAGCAGCTGTTTTCATTAATTTAACGAAGCATTCAATTTATTTATTTTTAATGTTTGCTTTGCGAAATTTTCCATTATTTAAAGCGTTTATTATTTGTTATTAATTTTTGTACAATTTTGTTTAAATACATATATTAATTCTTATTATTAATGAAAATATAATATTAATAAAAATACATTTGTAATTTCCCATTAGCTGTTGCATATATTTAAAATTATTGCATCATTTTTTTTATTCGAAATACTTCAATGCAAAAATACAAAAAATATACTTTTAATGAAAAAAAAAAGAAACAAAAATCATTTCTTATTAATTGTTGCTTAAATTCTTTATATATTATCAATATATTCTTTATATATTGTGCAATTTCTTATTATTTGTTGCAAAATATTTGAACAATATTCTTTAAGGAAAAATTTTTAGATTCACGAGATCTCAGGCCGATTGCTTGAACACATATTAATTTGCCCAGGTATTATATTAAAAAATTTTAAAAGAGTTGCGAATATTTTGCAGTATTTTATTTTTTTTTGGTTGCCTAAAAATCCTACTTAAATTATCTGAAACAGAAATTACCCGGCGTTGACAAAAGCGTTTTAAAAAAATTTTGTGCTACATTTATAGACTTTTGTCGTTGGATTTGAACCGGCGACTGCTCGCTTGTTCGTCCGACGCACAGCTAACATTTTCGCTCGTTTCTGAATAAGACTTTATAACTCCTTTGCTGTCGCTGTTCTTTATTCAAACTTTGAGTATATATAAATTCCTCAAAATCTCTTCTTTCAATGCACAAGTTTGTTTTAATACAAAGTTCGAATTCTTATTATCAGACAAAATAGACAAAAAGTTTTATAGAAAGATAATGAAATGCTTGTTATATGCATTTATTGAATTATATGCATATTTTCATTTAATTTTTATATTAATTTAATTAAATTTGAATTTAAGTTTACTTTTTAAGTTTAATTTTTATTTTATGCTAAATTAATTTTGATTTAATTTATTTGAACTTAAATTTTAATGAAATTTAATTTTTATCGTATTTAATTCTTAATTGTAATTACAATTTGATTTTTATGATGAGTTTGATTTAATTCAATTTTAATTTAAGTTTATTTTCATGTAATTTATGTATATATATATTTTTAAAAAAATATTAATATTATTAATTAATTTTATTTGTAATTTGATTTGCATGTAAGTTTTAGTTTAAATTTTAGTTTTAATTAAATTATTTTATTATTATTAATTTATTTTATTTAATTTAATTTTTGCTTATATTATCCATATTAATTATATTCATTTAATCGAGTTCATAAAATCTTATTTTAATATAGAAATTTTTCTTTTTCTAGATAAAATTCTCGCTACATTCGAAAAATGTTAGCATATCTGGAATGCTTTGTAAGTGAAGTTTATAATATTCCTATTATTTATAATATTTTAATTATTTATAAATTCTAAAGCCTTTCTGGTATCCTCTAGTTACCTTTTATTGTTCCTTTTGCACTCTTCTTCTGGCTCTGCGCGGCACTGTGCGTCGCATTTGCAACTTGCAACAAATTTTGCTTGCCACACGCACTTTGTTGCAAATATTGTTGCTGCTGTTGTTGTTGTTGTTGGCAATCGCAGAGAATTGTGTGCAGTTTGGCGAAAATGCGGAAAATAGCCTTTTTTGGGGTTCGCTGAGACACAAAACGCGTTTATACGAAAATTTATGTATTTAACTGTTGACGACGACGCTGACGAGCAAAACGATGACGCGCGATGCTGGACGCATGTGGCAAGGATGCGCCGGCCAAGGGCTGGGCGGAGGGTAAAGGGCGGGGTTGGTGTTGTGTGGCGCGACGAAAGGCAGTTGCGACAAGGCGACAGCGGCAGCCGTTGATGATGATGGCCGGCGTAGTGGTGGGAGGGGGGGAGAAGGGCAGGCAAAGACGACAAACAGACAACAGCAGGGCGAAGGGGGGGGGGGGGGGGGGGGTAGAGTGTTGAGGGATGGCACAGGGTGTTGCTGGATTGTAGAGGCTTGCGGCACACATGACTGAACGAACACGCAAACAAACAAATAAAATGTGTGTGAGCGAGTGTGTGTGTGTGTGTGTGTGTGTGTGAAGGTGACCAAACTCTAGGGCAGCTGCTTGGGCCAGTAGGCGTGGCATCATATGGGCGTGGGGGTGGGGGGGGGGGGAGGGGGCACAGCAAAAAAATAAAAAGAAATGCCGCATATTAAAGCGCCAAATAGAAGCGTGCAGCAGAGACGACGACTGCAGCTTAGAGGGGGTCAAGCTGCTAAAGGGGGGGGGTTAAGAGAGGGATGGGGTGGGGGTGTGCTGCACAAAGTTAGCTTACGCGCAACAAAAGCGATGAGCGATGATGCCTCAAATATGCAAAAATTCTGCCTAGCGCAATAAAACGCAAACGCAAACGCAAACTTCGAGGCAGGGTTACGATTTGGTACGGCGGGGGCCGTGCCGCTGCTTGGGGCCAAAGGGTGTCTGCAGCAATGAAAAAGGGCTTAACGTGTGCTCGTGTGTGTGCCGCTGTGTGTGTGTGTGTGTCCAGTT